TGGCAAGGATGCACGGTAACTGGGACTCTTACACTGCTGGTGAGCAAGCAAAATGGTACAGTCACTCTGGAAAAGTCTGGCACTTTCTTATAAAGTTAAACATGCTGGACGCAGTGGCCCACGCCTGTAATCCTAGCACTTTGGGAGCCCAAGGCAGGAGGATCGCTTGAGGCCAGGAGTTCAAGACGAACCTGAGCAACATAGCGAGACACTGTCTCTTTAAAATTTTTTTTAAAAAATTAGCCAGGCACAGTGGCATGCACCTGTAGTCCCAGCTACTCGGAAGGCTGAGGCAGGAGGATCGCTTGAGCCCAGGAGTTGGAGGTTGCAGTAAGCTATGATGATGTCACTGCACTCTAGCTCAGGCAAGAAAGCAAGATTTTGTCTCAAAATGATACAAAATTTAAAAATAAAGTCAAACACACACTTACACATGACCCAGAAATCCCACTCCATTTCATTCCTAAAGAAATGAAAACGTTTGACGTTCACGCAAATACCCATACATGAATTTTTACAGCAGCTCTGTTCATAGTTCCAAAAACAGTAAATGACCCAGATGTTCTTTGATGGGTGAATGAGTAGAAAAACTGTAAGCACACAACGGAATACTACTGAGCAAGAAAGGAACATATTAATACAACAACATGAGTTAGTCTCAAAGGCATTATGGTGAGTGAAAGAGCCACCTTCAAAATGTTACATACTCTGTGATTTCATATATGACATTCTGGAAAAGGCAGAAACTATAGCACTGGAGAACAAATCATTACTTAGTTGCCAGGGTTTAGGATTGGAGGAAGGGTGTGGTACAGGGGCAGCAGGAGAGAATTTTGGAAGGTGATGGAACTGTTCTCATCCTGATTGCTGGGGTGGTTCCGCAGAACCATACACGTGTTAAAACTCATGGAACTGTGCATGCGTGCACACACACACGAAGCAATTTTATTGTGGGTTAAAAAAATAAAAGATTAAAAAACAGACATACTGAATTATTGGCATACTAGCAGCCATCGTTTTAAACACTATGCTAGTACTTGGATAAATTTTAATATAAAGATCTCTTTAAAGCACCAAGGAACTTTCTATTTAAAGGGTGGTGAATCATTCTGTACTGCACGTTAGTATTTGTGTCAGTTTAGATTTCCAGTCCTCGCTCTTGCCGTGCCGCTAGGTTAGCAGTATGATGTTGAACAAGTCACTTCACCTCTGCTTGTTCAGTGGGGAAGCAGGAGCGGAGGTTTGGATGGTGCCAGGAGTTGCTAAGCCGCGTGCCAGAATCCTCTCCAACCTTGAGATTCCGCTTTGGTGGATCCAAAGCAGGCCTGCTGTCACATTTGGGAACTTTTCCAGAGCAGGTGATCTCCAAGGTCTCTTTCTACTCTGAAATTGTCATTTATATCATCTACTGGGTTTGTTAAATTAAGGTCCAGCTGTATTGGGAATCAGTTCTGTCCTTCCCTGCCACATCCATGTGACTTGGGAATTCACCCTGTCCCAAATACAGGACATCTTTATCTAAATTCACCAGTAGTTTTCTAAGAAAACAGCTTTGTTTACTTTCACCAAAGCATTTTCCACTCCAGTGTCACCTTGACCTTTCCCAAGGTATTTCTGTTCCCTCTCTTAGAGACTCAATCCCACCCTGACAGCCCTTTCCCAGGCCCCCTTCCCTGCCATCCTCCATCTTCATGTGCCCAAACGTCCTCGCCTAAGACCCCTCAGACACTGGTTGGCCTCCTGGCTGGAGGATGCTGGCATCTTGAAGACGACGGCCCAGAACCTGCCAGCTGTCCAGGAGGCAGCTGAAGAGGAGGGAATGGATGCCGGAGAAACCAGGAGCAGCACCTTACTCCCACCCAAAAGAGGTCTTCGGGGAGGAAGAAAAGAATCTTCAGAGGCAGAGAAAGAGAAGGAACTCTGAATACTAACCCAACTCACCTTATCTCAGGGACAGTCCAGTTGGGCCTGAGCCCAAGGGGGAAACACTGGCTGCTTCTCTGGTTCCCCTAGAGATACAGTTTAAGACCAAACACTGAGGCCGAGAAGGCTCAGAGCCATCAGCACTCTGCACTGGGGGCTTCAGGCCCACCCTGTGTAGCAGCTCTGCCAGCCTCATCCCAAGCTCCTCACGTGCCCCTCCCTCAAGCTATGCCAACTCCGCGCCCCCACAGCCGCTCCCCAGGGATGAGGCTAGCTGCTGGCTCCCGAGGAGAACCAGCCACCTGAAGTCTCCTCCCCATGCCCCCGGTCTCCTCAGCTATTTCTCTCACCTCCCAGGGCTTCCCCTCCTAGTGCAGCCTCCCCTGTCTCCCCCTCTCCTCTGAAGACTCAGTGATCTCTAGAGCAAGAGAGGTAAAGGCTACTTTCTTCTTCCTAGCCCAGCTGCAGTGGGCCTGAGAGAAGGAATCTTTGACCTTTGCTGCTCCCTCAGCCCCTGGAACATTCCCAGGACAGGGAGCATAAGGGCCTGAAGGTATGTGGAGCTAAATGGACTTGGAATATGTGGGCTGCAAGACCAGACTAGCGGGTTCTTAATGTAGGTCAGGTCTTGGTTCTCAGGGTAACCTGTTTATGTGCCTCAGACATTGGGTAGAGGAAGGAGGAGAAAGGGCATTACTAGGACCTGGGGCCATTACAATAGGAGGGAAATATCCCAACTCCCAAGCAGGGCAGGATCAGAGCAGCCCCAAGCATTTGTTTCTACTGGCTGATCTGTGGGGCTGAGGCCTGGGGAGGCTAGCGGATGACAGTCAGTAACTGGGGCGGAGGGCGGAGGCGGGGGGCAGATTCAAGGCCAGTAAGGTGAGACCCAGGTTGTCTGGAAGTACTTTAGCAGTCCTGAGGATGGAGCGGGGAATGAGGGACCACCAGAGAACACGAAGAAGCAAGGCAGGGACAGTCATCGAGGAGAAATACGAGTAACAGAGCCGTGGTTTGTATCCCATGCATTGTGTCAAATGCTTTCTCTCACTGACTGACTGAATTCTCATGATTCTGAGGTAGGAATCCATGTCCCCATGGCCACCAGTGCCTGGAAAAGCCCATTTTACAAAGCTGGGAGCTGATGTTGAGACTAAGAGTCTTTCCCAGAGCCGTGGCTACTTGGTGGCGGAGCTAGGTCTTGCTCGCGTGCCTGCATTCACGAGCAGAGTTCCCCCTCCGTGTCATTCTGCGGTCTCACTCCTAGCGTCAGCCTCTTCGGACCTCCAGTTTCCTGGAGTCGGGGAGAAGACCTGAGTGAGTCTGCCCGTATCCCCCGGACATTTGTTGGGTCAGGGGCTGAGGGGTAGCTACTGTGTGAGGCTGGCCCCGATGAAGAGCTGACCGGAAGTAAAACGCCCATGTTCCTCCAAGAGTTCCTTTCCTCTCTCTGCTCCTCGGCCCTAACCCCACAGCAGCGGACAGGCCAGGAAGTGCCAGGAGGTTGTTCTTGAGCACCTCGCTCTACTGCTGCTAACGCCTAATTTCCCACAACAAATCCCTGCCGAGAACTATGGTCACAGGCCCCACTGAGTGCTAGGCTGAAGAATGGTCCTCGCCCTCGAGCAGGAAGCAGGGGTGCTATTTAGTTCATAAGCCGGAAAGCCAGGCCCCCCAACTGGAGAGCTTGTGAAACACTGGACTGACTGACCTTGACTGAGGTCAGGGCAGCCTTGCCCGGCTCCAGCCCCACTCAGAACTACACCTGAGTGTGGGCACGGGAACTGAGACCCCGGAGGAGGCCAGGCAGGAACTGTAGCCTGAGATTTTGTGGCCAGAAGGGACCTACCTAATTGAGGTGCGGGGAGGTGAACGACCTGCCTGAGATCACAAGGCCAGGCTGTGGCAGAGCTGAGCTGAGGACCGAGCCCAAGGGCTCCTTCTTCTACAAGTCCTGGGCTATTTTGACCTGGCTGCCTCCTCAGGAGACTGAGGAAAGCTCCTCCCACTCCCAGAGGAAGTAGGTATGTGCCTACCTGGACAGAGCACAGGTTACACTTAAAGATTAGGGTTGTGCATGCTTTGAGTTCCAGCACCCACAATTCAGAACCCAGGTGGTGATGAATAGTCTACACCTGCTTGACTTCTGGGATTCTTGGATTCTCACAGCCCCTGGTTCCCTGGACCCAGTCACGCACCTCTACCAGCCCCACTGAATGAGACTTAGGAACCGCACTGCACTAGGAAGTCAGCGCCTGCTTAGTGAACTCGGCTGCTTCTCTGCTCGTTGAGTGCCTGGACAAATCCTCCTTATCCTTATGAATCTACTTGTCCATCGAAAGGGGGGAGACGCTCCCTTCCCTGAGAGGACCCGAGTCCTAAGAGTGTCTTTTTGCCTTTACCAACTGAAAAGTATTGAAGATTTTTATAAAGAGGAAACATCAGACTCTCACAAGCATTTACCATCACTTAAGTAAGTTCCCAAGAGGAACAGAGTGACCTATTTGGCTGGGCAAAGCAAGTGTGAACATCTTGAGAAATTTGAGCTCCTCATGCCCTTTCAGTCCTGCTCAGGTTCCAGGTTAGTGTCCTTCTCTGGTCTCCTTCCCTGGGCTCAAGTTCTCGACAACTGCGGGCAGGGGGTTTGAGGAACGCTGCTGACCCGATTCCTCCCCGTTCCAGGCCTGTGAAGGGGGTTATCTGGACTCCTTCCTGCTCTGTGGAAGAAGTATTCCCTTCCACAGTCCAGAGGACAAACTATGCCCAAGGAGCAAGAAATTCCTCAGCCACCTACGAGATATGCCTGACATGCCCACTGAAGAGTGGAGACCCAGTAAACGCCAGGGAGCGCGCCAGCAAGACAGTTGCTTGCAGGGTCGTGCTCTGAGCCTCGCCCAGCCAAGTGCTGCTGGCCCGCACCTGCCAGCGCTCGGACAGTCCCACTATCCGGGCTTGAACTCTGAGTTAAGAAGGCCACACGTGGAGACGGGATGGAAGGCAAAAAAAAAGACTAGAAGAAGACAGGAGAGTTCAACTGAACAGAAACAGATCAAAAGTACAGCCAGAATCGCACTTGGTCTTTTTTCCATTCTCCTTTATTCCATAAACACCTAGTTACAAGTTGCACAAATCAAAAAATAAAGGCGGAGATGGGTGTAGGGAAGATTTTTGTGATGTGTGTCTAGGTGGGATTGCAGGGGAGAAGGAGTTGGGAGCCAGTCGGCTCCCTCCACAGCCCTGCACGGGGCTATGGCCCCGCAGTGGGGGCTCCGAGGAAGAGGTGGGCAAAGATCTGGGGTAGCTGAGGGATGGAGAAGGCCCCTGAACCCAGAGCTCACCCCAGAGGCCCTTCAATGCATGGCAGGGTAGAATGGGGACGGCGAGGAGGTTCGGAGATGGAGCAGCAAAATGGAAAATCAAGTTAGTGGACACAGGAGAAGTGGAGTCATCATGGTGAGGGGATTAAAGAAGGAAAAAGTAGGCAGAGGGTACAGTGAAAGGTTCTCCCTGAGACCCCCAGGGAGAGGTGGGGGCCAGCTGGCCTGTTAATTTAATATTAAATTGGGGGTGGGAGTTGGAGAGGAAAAAGTTATTTCAGGGGATGATCTCTCAGCCTCTCAGCCTGTACCTGGAGGGGAAGAGAGATGAGCACAAGTCACAGAAGAAAAGATAAAAAGCCAGGAGTAGGGTGTTACTCCTACCCCTGTGAAAACACTGTCTCTTTCCACGCCAACTAAGACTGCTACTGTCAAGGCAGTATCTGCTGGGAACCCGGACTGCCTCTGCCTCCTGGCAGAGGAATGTGCACAGGTACACCCCGAAGCCCTCCTTCCCATTCCTCCCCTCCAAAACTTACAAGAGGGGCTGCGGGCCAAGGGCCCTCACCAGTCATAGCGGCGGGACTGTCGGGAGGGGGAGTCCTCAGGTCCCTGTATGGCCAGGCGGGGAGGCCCCTCAGCCCTTCGTCCCCCGCTCCCTGACGCCTCATGCCGTCGAAATTCCAGGGGGCGCTGCTGCCGGAATCGGGATGTCTCCCTCCGCCACTCATCATCAAATGCTGCGGCCTCACCTGAAGAGGACACAGACAGCAGGTGTGACGCCTGTGTGTGGCCCGGCTTCTGGAGGCAGATGTATGAGTGAGCCACAGCCTTCTCAGACCCCAAATGGGCAAGGGCTGAGATGTGTGTGTGGGGATGTGGGAGGAAGGACGGCAACTTCATTTAGCTCTTTTGGCTTCAACATGGTCCCTGGAAGCCACTGGCAGGCCTAGAGCATGACTACTGGAGAAAGAAATCAGAAATGGGAAAATTACTTAGTTAAGATTCATAACCCTACATACACAATAGGTATTTAGTAAATATTTGCTGAATTGAAAAAAATGAAATAAAGAGAGAAGAAAGAAAATTGGTCCAGATGGAGAAGGGTAGAACACTATTAATGTCAATAATTGACTTCAGGGACAAAGTGTGCCCTTCCCTGGTGAGGGCGCTGCCAGCAGCTGACTCAGCCCCAAGCTGACAACAAGGCTCCAAGTGAGGTAGGAGCACAGGGCTCCCCGTAACTTTGCCCAGGAAGTATCTGTGGGGGAGGGGCATCTCCTAGCTCACAGGAACTGGACTAGAGCTGCTGGCCAAGAAGCAGGAAGGCTCACTTTCGTCCAGGTTAATGTAGTCCTGCCGCTCCTCCTGGTCCCCTGTGCGGTGGTTTCGGGAGCGCTGGAGAATGTGAGCCCTGTCCCGGATGTGATGCCCGATGGACATCTGCTCTAGTCCACTGTCCGAATCCCGAACAGTCCTCCGAGTCTCCCGGATCTAGGATGAGGCAGAACGTGGCACACTCAGCCGCCTCTTCCAGAGCCCGGCTGCACCATCCCAGGATAAACTCATCCCCCACCACAACCCAATCCTGAGAAAAGCAACCAGGGTTGCTGTGGGTGCCACTCAATCCTGCCTTCTTTGGCACAGGAGGGACTGCCCACTCACCCCGCCTGGTGCTGAGCGCATCTCTGATGTCTCTTGGTAGACCTTGGGAGCACCATCACCCGTATTCGAGTAGGAGATGACAGTGGAGGATGAGAACGTCTGGCAATTGCCTCCAGCTGTCATGTGTTCCTGAGGAAAGGGTAGGAAGGGTAGGAGGCATCCCCTCTGGAGAAGGGATTTCACCCTTCAGCTGCGTGTTCTTGTCCAGATCTTTCTCATAAAATGTGAGCACTGAGAAAACATCAGGACTCATTATTACCCCCCAAATTCCTCTGACTCCAACAATAAATAAGAAAGACCTAAAAGAGATAGAGCCTTAACTGCATACTTAACAAGACTGCTGCTTCTGTACATTCAGGCATGAGAGCAGAGACAGAGTCCTAGCGCTCTCTGGCTTCAACTACTCTCTGCAGCTCGAACCCTTCGCTAGCACACTCCTGCCTCAGAGGGCTCAATGTGTTGTCAGCCACCACTGAGAACAAGGCCGGGGAAGGGTATGGGGCAAGAGTCTCACCATGTTCCCAATCATGTCGTTCATCATCCCAAACATGTCCATGAAGCCACCCGACTGGAGAAAAGAGATGGAAAACAGAGGCAAGAAAGCAAAGTTAGTACTCAGATGATCTTGTTTAGGTACCCACTAGCCACATGGCTACATATTCCCTTTCTCTTCTTCCTTCACGTCTAGCAAGTGCTCTTTCTCATTCGCCATTAACAAGGCCAGTGCACATTTCCCCAGTAAATGGCCGACCTCTTTTCTCAGTCTCGGTGGTTGCTCTGATCCAATTTTCCTTCTCCTGACTGTTGCATCCCCCACCACCCCCATCTTTAGAAAGCAAACCAAAGTTAATGAATTCTAACTTCCAAAGAAGTAGGGTATTAAATTGTTAAAATCTACTAAAAAACATCTCCAGTTGTCCCTTCAAATGCACCTCCCTCCTCAAAAGACCAAACTTTGTGAGACAACTACATCTTCCTAAGGGGTACGAACTTCTAGGGGTACAGAAGTTTAACTCACAGGACTCATGGCACCCAACAGGCTCAGAGCTTTGTGAACAACATAAAAAGAGAAGATTCTGGGGTTACCCAGGAGGCTATTCCAAAGAGGTACATTTGGAAACAACATCTAAGAGTACAGACTGTGTCTGAGATGGAAAGACTCACCATTCCCAGCATCCCGAAGGGGGAGACAGCCCCAGCCTACAGGAACACACGAGGAACAGAAATTAGAGACCACATCCTATCTCCTTACAATCCCAAACCAGGACCATGGCCTCAAATTTTTTTCCATCCTCCCAAAAGGGGGGTCACAAAGCCCTTTTTCTAGACTCCTTCCCCTACTCCTAGACCATTTCATTTGCTAAGCTGGCTGTCGTGCAAGAAAAATAAAATGCTTTGCCATCCACCCTCCCATCTCTCTTTAGGTCTCAGATATGTTTCAGCACCATTACCTGCATCCTGCGGCTGGCAGGCCTGGTCCCTGGCATGTTGCCATCTGTGATGCTGAGGAAGGGGCTATATCCAAAGCCACCTGACAACATACGGCTCATTTGCTGACGGTGAATAGCAAATGGGTCCCTGTGGAGTGAACGTATAGTATGGATGGCAGAAAGGCCAAGCTCTTGACCCCCACCCCCGAAAAATAAAAACAGGGCAACAGTGGTACAGATGCCTACTTTTCTCTAAGTCAGAGCTAGAGCTGGGTATCCGGCCAGTTCCGGCATTCCCAGCAATGGGAACCCAGATGTATGTCTGAACTTCTCAGCGAGACCGGAGTGGGGTGGGATGGGTGCTCTAGGGCGGGAGGGGGAGGGAGTACTCACATCAGGAACATGGGATCCTCAGGCTCCACGTCCCTCATGAAGCGGAACATCCTGATCTTAGCTCCAGGGGGCTCCACACTGGAAAGATGTGGAGGCTCAGATACTTGGAGGCGGCCAGGCTTTTTGCACACCCACTCAGTGTCGGGACTCTAGGAGCACTGTCCCTTCCAGGTACTGTAAGTGACCCCCTAAACTCCAGGGAGATCTTTCTCCGGGTGTTTCATACAACCCTCTATGGAGAGAAGCGCTCTTCAAACCTATTAGGGCCGTGGAAAATTTTTCCAAGCGTCTCAGGGTTTTGCCTCCTCCACTCAGAGCCATCCTCTTCCCAAAGCCCCGGCCAGGAGCATACTCCTCTTCCTCCCCCGACGCCACCGTTCTAGATGAGAACCCCCAATGCCGGCCCTCTGCCCCATTAATGACCCCAGCCACTCCGCCCCCTCTTTATGCCCAGCCGCCGCCAGGCCTCCCCCAGGCCGGCCTCACCATGTCGACCCCGCCGGTCGGCGGCTCCCCCAGCTCCCGCCTTCCCGCCGGGCGAGAGGAGGGGCAGGTCTGACTCTCTCCCCTCCCCGCATCCCAGGCTCCCAGACCCTACAGCCCGCGGGCCCGCTCCCGCCCCGGGCTGCCCGCTCTGCTCGAGCCTCACCGGTCCCCGATTCGGGCTCAGCGGCCCATCCGGCCGGTTTCGCTTCTCAGTGCGCTGCAGATCAGGGTCGCGGCCCCGGACGCGGGGATTGGTCTGGGCTTGAGCTCCTCGACCTGCCGGGCCACCTCCTCCCACAGCTCCCACCACCGTACCCCGCCTCGGCCCGCGGAGCCGAACCTCGGCCAGGCCCGGGCGGAAGTGACGTCACGACGGGACCGCCCACCCCCGGGCAGACCCACAGGAGCCCCGCCCACTGGCGTGGGTAGGGAGGAGGTTGGGGCTGCGTCCCCGGGACTGTGGGGTGAGGGGGGGGCCGAACGCAGTTGAGTGGAGCCTCTGGGACAAGGGTAGGGGAGGCCCCATAATAACCTGGATTTGGGTGCTGTGGACAGGAAGAAGTTCCCTGTAAGGGTGGGGAAGAGGAGGACAGGCATCCACTCTCTGGGAAGGACAGGGTGGAGCTGGGTAGGTGAGGGGGGAGGGCGGTGCAGCACGTTCCCTCTGGAGAAACGGGAGGGGAGGACGAGGGGCAGATACCCTCGGGGGAGGGGCGGGATCTCAGTGGGCGACGAGCTGGGGCGGAGCTTTAAGCAGATTTTCTACTGGAGAAGCGTCCCGCCGGAGAGGGAGGAAGGGCGGTATTTTGCGGGGGAGGCGCTTAGGCCTGTCCCTCCGGGAGGAGGAGCATTCCTGGCAGGGCGGAGTCCTCGGAGTGACGTAGAGGAGGAGGTACTCGCCAGCCTAGGTCCAGTTCGGGCTTTGAAAAGTCGGACTAAGGCAAAGAATCCGGGTTGGGAAGGCTGGCCGCCAGGTGGCGCTCCTCGGCCAGGCTGGATCTAGAGCTCCTTGGGAACTGGTGCTGGAGAGGCTCCTGGACCCCTCCGTTACCCATCTGTGAAGGGTCGGGTTGGGGAAAGGTTCGAGTTCTGAAATCTTTTCGTTCAGTACCAATCTCCCCTTTCTTTTCTCTAACTCTTGTGTCTTCAAGAGCTCTTAGTCCTGCACCGATCTTTCTTTCCTCTAGTCAGGGAGGTAGGTCAAGGGTCTAAAGTTTGGGGGAAGAAAGGGGTGGAGAGATCAATTAACCATGATCACTCAGGGGCGGGGCTAAAAACAGGGCCCGGGAGCCCTGACTCCTAGGCCAGAGCCTGACACTTTGACATACTAAATGCCTTGCATAAAATCTGGCTCTGCTGGACAGAAGGACCTTCCCCCCTGGGGTCAGGGGATTTGGACTATCTAGGATGGACTTTAAACGAGCCTTATTCAAACTCCAGCCCTCCCTGGTTCTTTCCTATGGCTATTAGCCATATTAGTGCTCTGTGGAGCCTGAGCAATGAGAAAGATTTGTTCCCAATAATTCCCTGGGGCAGAAGGAAGAGGGGGGTCCCTGGTGAGTCATGCAAAGGTGCTGGGTGGGAGCAGGGCTTCTCAGCTTTCTTTGGACTTAATCGTAATTGAAGAGGAAAAAACAATAATGGAGACAGGGGTCGGGGACAGAGGCAGATAAAATTAAGATACAAGCTGGCAGATTGGCAAAATCAAAGGAAAACAGAATACAAGAAAATTTGGTTTTCATTGGTATGTCTGGGGAGGAGACTTAGTAAAATCCTGGACGTCGCAACATGCAGCTGCCCCATTTCCTCTTGCCCCAAATGAAAGCAGTTTGACATGTGATCAAGAGTTACCCAGGCCGGGCGCGGTGGCTCACGCCTGTAATCCTAGCACTCTGGGAGGCCAAGGCGGGCGGATTGTTTGAGCTCAGGAGTTCGAAACCAGCCTGAGCAAGAGCGAGACCCCTTCTCTACTAAAAATAGAAAGAAATGATCTGGACAACTAAAAATATATAGAAAAAATTAGCCGGGCATGGTGGCGCATGCCTGTAGTCCCAGCTACTCAGGAGGCTGAGGCAGAAGGATTGCTTGAGCCCAGGAGTTTGTTGCTGTGAGCTAGGCTGAAAGGGTGAGGCTCTGTCTCAAAAAAAAAAAAAAAAGAGTTACCCAGTGAGGGTTCTGTGGCTCAGACTTAACTAAAGAGATCCTATCCAATATTTTTTGTCCTCTCCTCCTTCCAAAGCAAGTTCTTCATTGTTCAGCCAATCAACAAATGTCTAATGAGGCCTAGCACTGTCCAAGATACATGATATAGTAAGCATAAATACCAAAAAAACAGTCCCTGACAATTTGAAGTGTATAGTCTTCTAGTCTCCCCTCTCTTTTGGATTACCTGTTATCCTTCCTCTACCTACAGCCTTTAGATGCTTAGAGCCCTTTCTCTTCTTCCTTCCAAAACTTAAGAATCTGATATCAATCGTTTTTACCTTTCCATGATGTTAAATCAATGTATTACCTCTCCTAGGAATATCTGCAAATTACAACTTAGCCTCTAAGAGACAAGGCTCAAAGCCTGGGTTTTTTTCTCAGGTTAAAAAGAAATGCTTGAACAGGTAAGGATGCAGGAGGAGATGCAAGAACTCATTTTCAGAGTCCCTGGAAACATACGATACAGGCAGCTGTCTACTCCAGGAAATTGAAGGGATATAATTTTACAAGTAACCAAAGTTTGTGTCTGTATTCTTTCTCCTTCCCCCTCTTCCCTTTTCCTTCTTTTCCCTTCCCCACCTCCTTTTCTCTCTCTCTCTTTCTCTCTCTCTTTCATCTCTGTCCAGTGAACTGTGATGAACAGGAATTCCTGCCACTGGAGTGTCCCATAGATGATAAGATGGAGGAGGGAGAACAGGCCCTGCCAGGAGTTAGAGGCTTAACACAAGGAGGATAAGGATTGCTGGGAAGGAAGAAAAACATTCCCTGCTTTACTGGTGGAGGCAAAGTCAGGAAGTCCTTGAGTGGGTATAGCTGGGCCAGAAAAGGGGCCCTCTTCAGATGAGAAGTCACACATCTGGAGCAATCTCAGGGCAGTTGGATATTTGAACATGGTGAGGGTAGAGCAATAATGTTATGGGCGTTAGGGGGAGATTGGATTTCCTGCTTGAGCCAAAGCGAGTGTGGCTGTGTGTGCATGTATATGTGCATGTGTGTTGGAGGAGGGAGATGAACCCTAAAAATTAACTCTAAGGTGCTCCAGGTAGAGAAAGTGGACACCAGCTGAAAGTGAGATTGAAAAGTGACTCAGGAGCATTTTTTTTTTTTTTTTTTTGAGACAGAGTCTCACTCTCTTGCCTGGGGCGAATGCCGTGGCGTCAGCCTAGCTCATAGCAACCTCAAACTCCTGGGCTCAAGCGATCCTACTGTCTCAGCCTTCCGAGTAGCTGGGACCACAGGCACACGCCACCATGCCCGGCTAGTTTTTTCTACATATATTTTTAGCTGTCCAATTAATTTCTTTCCATTTTTTGGTAGAGATGGGTTCTCGCTCTTGCTCAGGCTGGTCTCGAACTCCTGAGCTCAGAACGATCCGCCCGCCTCGGCCTCCCAGAGTGCTAGGATTACAGGCATGAGCCACCGCGCCCGGCCTTAGGAGCATTTTTTTTAAAGTCAGCTTTTCAGTTTGTTTTTTAATCCACATTCATTCAACAAATATTTATTGAATGCCTACTATGTGTCAGGTACAGGCTGTGGAGATACAGTGATGATATAAAGAAAAAGCAAGGAAGAAGAGAGATAGAGGGGACAGGCAGCTGAGAGGTGGTTGCTTTGTATATAGGTGACTAGGGAAGGCCTCACTGATGAGTTGACATTTAAACAGAGACCTGAACAAGGTGAGGGGAATAGCTGGGATGAGAGGCTGAAGAAATAGCAATGCAAAGGCCCTGAGGGAAAAGTATGCTTTGCATGTTCAAGGAACAACAAAGAAGCCAAGGCATACAGACTGGTGTGAAGGAAGAAAAGAACATCAGTGAGTGATGAGGTCACAAAGGAAGAAGGAAGCCAGGTCATGTGGGACTTTGTAAAACCTACAAAGGATCATTCTGGCTGTTGTATGGAGGGTAGAGTTGGGGGTGAGGGGGAGCAGAACCAGAAAGACCTATTAGCACGCTGTTGCCATAAGCCAGACGTGATGCTGGCCAAGAGCAGGTTAGAAGCAGTAGCGGCAATGAGAAGTGGTCATAGTCTAGATATATTTTGAAGATGGAGCTCACAGAATCTGCTGATGGATGGATGCAGCATAAGAGAGAGAGAGAGAGATGAGTCGAGGATGCCTCCAAGGTTTTTGGCCCAGGCAACTGAATGAGAATAAACGACCATTTTGCTTACCACACTGCCAAGTACTGGACTGAGTAGGTACAAATAGTTTGAAAATATGTTAAAAATTGTGACTGGCTGGAAAATCCTGACCATGTGATTGCACAGGTTAACTAACCCGGACAGTCCTATCTCTTGAATCTAGCCACCTAAGGAAGGAGGAGATGTGGACAACAGGAATAAGTGACTGCCACACCTAGTTGGACCATAGATATTAGATGTTAGACTGTCTTGGGTAGATATTATAAAGCTACTGGTGGCATTAGCATTGGAGTTTCAAATTGTCCTTTAATCATTTCAAAGACATCCCATGGCCGGGCACAGTGGCTCACACCTACAATCCTAGCACCCTGGGAGGCTGAGGAGGGAGGATTGCTTGAGTCCAGGAGTTCAAGACCAGTCTGAGCAAAAGCAAGACCCTGTCTCCACTAAAAATAGAAAAAATTAGCAGAGTGTGCTGGCATGGGCCTGTAGTCTCAGCTACTTGGGAGGCTGAGGCAAGAGGATCCCTTGAGCCCAGGAGTTTGAGGTTTCTGTGAGCTATGATGACGCCACTGCACTCTAGCCTGGGTGACAGAGCGAGACTCTATCTCAAAAATAAAAGACATCCCCGAGGAGGCAGTATGTCCTGTCATTAACATGGCCATTGAGAATTGAAGTTTGTGCTAATCATGTGGTAGATCACATCGATACACATTTATTGAGCACCTGCTATGTGCTAAGCATAGAGATAGGTGTTGGGGATAAAAAGACAAGACAAACATGTTCTCTGCCCAAGAAAGTTTACAGCCTACTGAGGATAACCAACATGGAATCAATTTTAGTCTTGTGATGAAGTCTGCACTAGAAATATGTATACTAAAAGGGCAAAAGTCGCTGGGTGCAGTGGCTCGTGACTGTAATCCCAGCACTTTGGGAAGCCAAGGCAGGAGGATCTCTTGAGGCCAGGAGTTCAAGACCAGCCTGGGCAATGTAGCAAGACCCCATCTCTACCAAAA